TTTTTTTTTTTTTTTCCTTTTTTTTTTTTCTTCAGGCAGAATTGCAGGTTTTTTATCCAGTTCCAAAGATCTGTTCTTCATCACTCTTTCTTTTATTTAGTTTTCCAGAAGTGTGCGCTGAACTGAAGAGTGAAAAACAATTCAAGATTAGTGCTCTAAGCATACAATGCAAGTCATGCATTACTATGCAACAGTTTATGCAGTCAACAAACTTCGAGTAGACGTCTGACAATGTGTGATAAATTTAGTTAAGCAGAGGCTTGGTTCTGTGAAGCCAATATACCAAATACCGAGGGATATTACATCCCAGGTTTCTCACTCAAATAACCACATCTGACTTGCAGTGTAACCCAACACTCAGTTTAGGCTTGCAGTTCTTGCAGAGGCAGAGGCTGCATAACTCATACATACAAAAAGTAAGTTACTGAAATAAAGTTCCTAGGTTAACTACATTTTCAGGCAGTCAAAGATAAGTCTACATAAAATTTTAAAACTACAGACCTAATYTGCCATGCCATGTGACCCAGCTTAATGCAAAACAGCTTCTAACTGGAAGCTGTGTAGGTRTATCTATTACCAGAAGCAGAGCTAACATCTGCTCACTCCCAGAACTGAGATCAGCAGCAGCACCRTGCTGACCACGGCTGCTCGTCTTTTAGCTCAACACATGATCATGCAAAATATAATAGAGGTACAAAATTTGGGATGTAATATGACATCAATATGTAGGTAGGAGTGATCATATATGGTAATATGCCAAGCATGACTTTAATGGTTAAAATAAAGTACGCATCATCTGACACGTTTCAAATTTGATTTCTGGCGAATCTTGGCTAAAATTTTGGCATATCCCAACTAYAACTCATTTTTTAACTGCCTTTGGTAGAGGTCTTTGATACTACTTGCTTCACTAGCCCACAGCTGAATTGAGGATACCTGACTCTCTTCAGTCCTTAGAGCCAGTCACAAGATGAGAGTTAACAGCTTAACGGCAAAGTGTTTATAAAGAAGATAATGAACCACATGGAAGTTYATAACAAACTCATGCAATAACTGAGAGAAATAAGGTATAATATTTTTTTACTATTTAAATAAACAGAAATACTTTTGCAGGTTTTAGATTAAAATCACAACATAACGTACTGCAAATATATGCTGCTTTGAAATTTTAATACTCAGTATTTCAAAACCATCCACTAATTCAGCATGAGGTTACATGCTTCCTCCTTTGTTGACTGGTCACAAGGGTTAGAAGACCAAGTTTACACCTATACCATTTCCTCTAGTTCTATCCACAGATTCCTGGAGTTGATCACCTGTTCCATCAGCCAAGTTCCCTACACAGCCAAACATGGAAGGGTGACGTTGTCAGTGTTTGTTGCTTCAAAGAGATCTTTCCACATCTCTCACCTTCATAGAAAGATCAATGATGTGATGATTCTTTCATACAAGAATCATTCTCCGTTCACAACAGAGAATGCTTTAATTACAACATGCTATTGAGTTCAGTCCTCCTTGCCTCCCATGTAGTTTCACCTCTGTCCAAACGTCATTAATTTTTAATATACAGTCTTGCAGTGTTCTATATCAGTTTATAATCAGAAAATGTTTCAGATTCCAATCAGAAACATACACTAACAAACTTCCAACTGCAGTTATGTATCACACTGAAAGAGCAGGTTTTCACAGTTGCCTCCAATACTTCTGCAGACAAAAATTCAGTTCTTCACCTTCTCTAATTTTTAACATTTCCACAACTTCTCAAGGCAATAAACCAACCCGTTCAACAAAAAAAGCTAGAGAAGAGTGACCATATTGTCAGAACTGAATGCTTGATTCAATTCTAAGTTTGTCATCATGGTAAAGTCAYAAGATCACAGAATGATTTATGTTGAAAAAGACCTTTTAGATCATCCATTTTAACTATTACCCTGGGATTTCCAGGTCCACCATTAAACCATGTCTCTATGTGCCAGATCTATACATCTTTTAAATACCTCCAGGGATGACAATTCCTCTACTATCCTGAGCAGCCTGTTCCAATGCTTAACAACCCTTTCCATAAGGAAATTTTTCCAAATATCCAATCTAAACCTCCTCTGGCAGAGTTTGAGACCATTTCCACTTGTCCCATCACTTKTTACCTGGGAGAAGTGATGATACATACCTGCTTAGAATCTCCTTTCAGGTGGTTGTAGAGAGTGAAAAGATGACCCTGAGCTTTCTCTTCTCCASGTTAAACACCCCCAGCTCCCCCAGCCACTCCTTATTGCAACGTGTGTTCTGTACTGTTCCCCAGCTCTGCTGCCCTTCTCTGGACATGCTACAGCACCTCAATGTCTTTCCTGAAGTGAGGGGCCCAGAACTGGACACAGCAACTTGAGGTGTGCCCTCACCAGTGTCAAGTATAATGGGACAATGTGGTCCTGCTGGCCACACTTGSTGATATAGGCCAGGATGCCACTGGCCTTCTTGGCCATCTGAGCATACTGTTAGCCCCTRTTCTACCAACACTGGTTGGGTTTTTGTCTGCTTTTTTAAAAAAATAAAACAGCACATTTTCTCCAGTATGTTAGATGTCAATAAAGTGCATTTAATAGGATCTCTACCAAAGAGCTGATCTTCCATTTAGATTTGTGTCTTACCAGGTGGCTCAGATTGTGCTCCCCTGTGGCTGTCCATATTTACATTCTCTTCATCTGCTAGGAAAAAAAACCAAATGTTTAGCATTCAAATTCTCTTATATTTGAGGTTCTTGATAAATAGAGATAATTTGAGAGAATAAATAGCACTGAAGAAGACAGGCTACTGATAGCAATTGACTTGCCCTTGTTTTGTCTGCACACATTAATTTTAATATACATGGTAGAGGTATAACAGGATCAATTTATAGTGCACATATGAACACAAAATTGTCTCTCTTTAGACAGTAGGAAACAAAACTAACTTAGAATTCTTACCGCTTTGCTTGAAACAGAGCTTTTTCTTCTGGTAAGCAATGAAACTAGATACTGCTCCAATTACAGTAGCAGCCACAGCACTTACAATTCCAGCTATTGCTCCCTGAGAAGCTGAAAAAAACAGAGATGTTTGTACACATTTTTCAGAATTGAAAGCCATTTCTAACTTGGATTGTCTCAGAGTAAACCCTGTGAAYACTTCCAAAAGCCRTAAAACTGAAATTACATGAAAATGTAATCATCAACTCTGTGCATAATGAAAAGTGAATCCTCASATTTTATAACCACTGATTTCTTAGCAATGCCAGTTTTAACTTAAGCATGCCTGTTTTAAGTTCCACTAATTAAAAAAGCTATCCTTTCATAGCCATATCTACTTTGTATGCATGCAATCACTGCACCAGCACCTCTGGAACCTTAACACTTAAAAATAATTTGCAACATAGAAATTTTAAAGAGTTATGAAAGGAGAGCTTGAAAGTAAGAATTCCAGATGCCACAACAGATTCTAATTGTAACCCACTCCCAGCAGTGACCATTCTAGCAAAACATTAGCAATACAGAAACCCACAGAAAACATGGTTAATTTATCTAGACACCATCATACACACAAATTCATGCACTTACCCTCATCTTCTTGGCCATTTTTTGGAGTTGGACCCTTTCTTTCTGTAAAAATKAATGAAGAGTTTACATTTTAATATGTCTAAATAACACATCATAATTGACAACCCTTTCATCAATTAATTATGCAAAATTACAAACCATCTATTATATCCATACAGCGCTAAACTGAAACTTTCTGTTTCCAAAGCACAGTTCAGAGTGGTGCCAACTCCAGCCTTGAGTGCTCAGCACTTCTACAAAACGAGCACAGAACATTTGTGCAATCTGGTTTAACAAGCTTGTGCACCACCACAGAGCTCTTGTATAACTTCAGAGTAACATTCAGCTGTATTTCCACGGAACCAACTATCTTTTCCTAAAATCCCAGCCTCATCTACTAAATAGCTTTGCAATTCTCTTCACAAGCAAAGCCAGAAGTTCTACAAATCCTAACTCTATTTGTCACTATGCAACTTGTACCACTGAGGCAGGAACCTGTGCAGATGAAACCGCCGCACAAGTCTCTACAGATGTTTCTTGCCCCTGCCAGTTTTCAAGTACTGTCCCAAAGGAATCTTGGAAGGGAAAAGCTACCCAAAAATGTGACAACAGTAATCTCTGGGACAACTCTTCAAAGAAGTCAGTAACCATTAGCACATCTCAAGATACTTAAACTAACTCTTATCTGGAAATACTAAAGTYGCAATAAAGGACACAGGGATCAGCAGTCCCATCCTAAGGATCATCATTACTCCAGCTTGGTTCCAATGACCATCTCTGTACTGTGCTGCACCATAGCAACTTGACATAACAAATTACCAAAAAAAAGTTAGGCAGGCTATGAAATGGTTTTATATTGCTCAGAGTAGACAGACCCTATACAGAATCATATGAAGGGCCCTTACAGATAAGTGAGTTTGAAACCCTCTGCCATGGGCAGGGATACCTTCCACTAAACCTCAGAGCTCCATCCAACCTGGCCTTGAACACTTCCAGGGATGGGGCATCCACAAGTTCTCTGGGCAGCCTGTTCCTCATCACCACCACCACCACAGTAAAGTGAAAACTAAGGATCACTTAGCAATGTAAAGATCAATTCATCCCGTGGGACAAAGGAAATCTTTCAAAACGTAAGGCAGACCCTCTTCTGACCCACTCCTAGACTTCCTAACTACAAGAATGAAAAGAAACTGACAGTATGTCACAGAAGATCTAAAAATAGCTCTTGGGTGACCTTAAGAACTATATTCATGGTGAATTTTGAAGTAGGCACCGCATTCACATTTYAGTTTTAGAAGCCATCTTTTTTAGTGTAACAGTAAAAATCACTGACAGTTTTTGCTCTAGACCAACCCCTTAAATATTTGAGGKTTTTTTTGGCAGAGAGAACACATTAATTTTTAACTCAGAGGTATGCTCTTAAGATTCAGATACCAGAATCAAAGGCGTAGCAAATTACAGCATGTTTAACCAGCTAATGAGCAAGCTTTTATCAAAAGCTCAGGTAGCTATAGAAACRATATGGAGCACAACCTGCTATCTTACCATTGCTGCCACTGCCATCACCTCCTCCTTTTGGTGAATTGCCATCCAATAGATCTAAGTCATCAAATGTGTCTATAAAAAAAATGGAAATAACATTACCATGTTTTAAGTTCAGTGAAAAAGGCACACCAAGGCACATARTAACATGGAAATTTTCTCAAGACTATTCAGCTGAATTTGTGGTGGTTTTAAGCTCAGCACCAGAGTCAGAACATTTAACCTTTTAAAAGCCCTCGCAATATCAGCTCAGCACTACACAGTTTGACAGCAGTGCTCCTTTCTCTGGACTTCCTGAACAACTGAGAGAAGCCAGTGTCCAAGAGCAGGTAGTACTGCACAAATCAGGTTAAGCAAGCTCTCTAAGCTGCTTAACTCTAATAGCCCAAATCTCACTATCCTGTGAAAGCAAAGAAAGATCATGGACAAAAAAAGGACCATTCATTTTCAAGGCTGCAACTGTGAATGATTCTTCAGAACCGGGTCTCTAAGTCACWAATAGTCCAAATATAATTCCCTTCTCTGTTTTATTACAGGACATTGAAGTAGTCCCTCTCTATTTCCAACAAAATCTACCTCATGGAGCCTTCCTGTCTCTTCATGGCATCTTCTCCTCCTCTCTGCTGCCAAATAAATCTTTAGTTTATGTAAAGGATATGTATTTCAAGCAGAAAAACTAAAATTTTTGCATCAGAAGATATTTTAATTGGGTGGCAAAAGCACTGCACTGATGCATGCAAGACTCAAATTCAAGTATCTGCTACAAATCAGGCAGGTGAAAGAACAAAAACTGAGGCTTGCATTCCAGGGCTCTTTACCACCATGTTCTTGGATGCATGGCTGCATCACAGCTGCAGCCATCTGAATCTGTTTTGTTCTGGGTTAGGCAAAGACATAGAGGACCTCTAAAGCACAACTGGCAGGGAATGACATGAATTTTGAGCCTATCTTTCAAACCCAAATAATTCTATTTCTTAACTGGGCCTTTAAATTAAAAAATAAGCAACCCTTTACCTTGGAACTTTACCTTTCATTTAGATCCTTTAGGAATAAAGATCATAGGCAGTTCCTACTACCTTTTTAGCATGACTAGAAGAGATTCAGTTTGTAAAGAAGAAAGATCTCAATCCAAAACATGGGTGCTCCACCACAGACAGCTGACAACAGCACTGCCCCAAGCACATACACACTGTCTCATCCCGCCTCTTCCCCACACCATCCTGGTTTTAAGTGAAAGTGACTCAACAGGTTTGTAATGGAATTTAAAGACTGGTGCAAAGCTTATTTGCAGGATAACATCTCCTCAATCCTCAATGTTTGATGTATGCCACATCTGACATACATAGCAGGCAATTAACAAGGATCAATTATTACAAGTGTAACAGACAGTAAAACCAAGTCAGGATTCAGAAGTCTGTGCTAGAWGCCTTACCAGAGCCTTTAGGTGGATCTCGCTTGGGGTTATCTAATCACAGAAGAGAGATTTAAAAAAAAAAAAAAAAGAAGATGTTAAGACATTGTACAGCACAGTACAGTAATGTTCAAAGGGACTAGAAGGGACTAACAAATATTCTTCTGTGGTTCAGAAATTCCTGTTTGATCAGTCTTACCAGTGTCTCCAGGATTTGCAGGAGGATGTGGCTTGGAATCATCTGTAGACAAATAAGAATTAGAATAAAGTAGGCAAAATTACTAGTTTGAAGAAATCAAAAGCTGAGCATGAAGTGTCCCTGAAAGATGATCTCACCTAAAAAATTGCATCAAAACTTCTTCATGTAATTTTCCTTTCACTAGCTAATGCTGTATTTTTTTTTTTGTTATTTAACACTGTGTTTTAATGCAACTAAGAGTGTCCCTGCTACATTAACCTGTATGTCAGATCCTAGCTATGATGGAACATAAACAGAAAAACTCATTAAGTGTTATGCAGCATTTCAGTTTGCACATCTGATTTCAAAGGCTGAACTTTAATTTTTTCTACAAGGTACAGATTACTTGTCTGTTTTTTTTTTTTTTTTTTTTTTT